AGTCCATACTAGCGAACCAGTGGTTGGATGGAACTTCAAGCTCATATTCTGTTCTGGAACGACGTACATGTAGACCCTTCTTACAAGGGAGGTATTTCAGGGCAGGGTGCGCTTTTTCAAAACGGTTTTGTGCATATTGTAGGGACGCATGTAGGGAAACGCGAAACAAACCATTTCATTTTCGCTGAACGGTTATAGCAGTACCTAAAAAAGAAGCACAAGAGTACTGTTAAGGGTTCGATCCCCCGTGGCGACTAAATTTTGCATTTGGGTTGGCGCCTACGGTTTGGTGCCAAATCGCGCTAAATATCAAAATTAGATGTCAAATTCATCGTCAGGACCATTTTGAAGCCAACAAGTGGCCGCCAACCTTGATTGCAAAATTTAGTCGCCGCGGGGATTGAACCATCAAGAGTATTATTCACCACTTTTTGGTACTACTAAAACCGTTCAGCGAAAACGAAACATGGTTTTGTGGTCCCATACATGCGTCCCTACAACATGTACTAAACCGTTTCCAAAAAGCGCACCTTGCCCTGAAAGACTCCTTGTTAGCCAGTGAAACAACCATGTAATCCTATCGGCATCTGAATTGCTTTGGTTATGTAAGCTGTTTCCTCGATTAGAAGCGACTCTGTAAAATTACTAACAGTTGGGTAAAAAAAAGCTTTCATGGAGGCATATTTTTGATGGACACTTCCTGCATCCATCATGTCGACCATTTTGGTATCTGGCACTTTCCCATATAACAGCTCGATGGTTTCACTCGATCACTTTTTGAGGCTTTTTCTTTAATCAATTGTGTGGCTTGAAAATGGAATTTAGCTCCCTCAGAATGTCAAACTATAACTTTCTTGGCCTCCCCTCATATGCACGTCATCTTCTTTGCATACACGAACCCTTTCAAGTCGTCGTTATATTTTACGCATATATTAACTTCAAGCTGACCCATTGATGATGGTGCCTCTTTATGAGACCCACTCCACCTCATAGTTGCCTCGGAAGTCGACGCAAATTAATTTTGGCATTCGAAATCGTGAATAGTTGCCTTGCTAGTTCTTACAACTTATCTGCCATGTTAGCCCATTGAATTTTGCCACTTTTTTTACCCTTCAAGTTGGTGACAGCGCTCAGCGTGATCGCATCCGATTTAGCAGTAAAGTATTCAGTGAAGATCCGTCATGTACATAGCACTGTGCAAGTTTCCATGTAACCGCGTATTGTTAAGGGTTGTTGATGGTGTGTGATAAGGTGGTGGCGAATTGGGTCAAGATCACTCTATCAACGGCGGTAAGACGAGGTCGATTGTCTTGTCGTCCGGTGCGCTCCTGCCCAACCGCGCATTTTCAGCCGTTCAGGGATTTCAAGCCGGTCGCGAAAAATTCCCGTCGCATTGCAACTACGCGGATTACGCGTACACAGCTGACGTATCAGTCGTATGATACGTTAAGAAATATGACGAATTTTGTGGGTCAACAACGGGGGAGATGAATATTTCGTTGAAGAAATTGAGAGGGTTTATCGAGATGATGGAAAGGGATCCTGCGAAATTTTAATAATTTGCAGGTTCTTTTGTGTAGAGTTTTTGCCATCACAAGAAGCATGATGCTGTCCAAGTTTAGAGTGCCCAATAAAAGTTGAGCATTCAGCGTTGCTGCCTTGCCTTTTCGGGATGCGCCACGTATTCCTTTTCTGTTTGAAGTCTTAATGGCGTTTGAATGGTATGTGGGCCTATGCAATGACTTGCGGGGTCACTTGATGTACAAGTCAGTGTTTTCAACTTACCGGTGAGGAGCGTGGTAGCAATTAACCGTATCTCTAGAAATAAAAGTTGACCTCGACGGATTTAATCCGGAAGACCCACGAACCGTGGGCGTGGCACCACTTTTATGACAACATTCTGTCCTAGCATGAGAATAGTGTGGTACTTTTAAGTCTTACGATTAGTCACAGGAAGCGTAAAGGTGGTGTAGTCGAAGAATTAGTGGAGTAGGACTAATGTAGCGCTGCTATTGCCTACGGTATACAAGGTTCGTCGATTGAGTTCCGATCAGATCTGCGCATTTTCTGTATCCGTGTTTTCTAATAGGGCCCAATTTTTTCTAGACCGGTGGCGACCTCTAGGGTATCGCTAATAACCGACAGCATTTCGCATTCGATTTTCAAAGAACTAGGAAATAAAAAATAATAGAACAAAAAATTATATAGAGCAAACTTACAGCAGCAACCCTAGCAATGTGCGTGTCGAAGATTTTAGTGGATGGAGGTATATAGCCCAGCGAGTGTCACAGATGAGACGTTGTCGCGTATCGAAAATGCGTGACAACGGCGCTAGGACTTTAAATAGTGAACTTCTGGAGACCAGTCGAGCTTTTGGACCCGGTACTTCGTGCTCGCCCTCACGTAACGTGGACTACGAGGTAGCGGTCAGATAAGCCATTAGGTAGAATAAGATAGTAGCTTATCTACTTGATGCGTTCGTCGCGACTAATTGATCCAGAATTTTCCAGCCCATTCAATTCTATCGATCCCTGTTACCCTATCAATTTGAACTGGAGTTGTTGCCTCAAGTGCGTATCTAATTCCCGAGATATATCGATTACCCTGTCATAAACGGAAGCATAAATCACATTTCAGTGGATCGCGATGTTCCCATGTTCTCCTTTGAGCGCCGAAAATTCTACCCACTTCCCATAGAGGAGTGCATTTCGGGACTTTATGTTTCGCAAGTGAAGGTCATTTAAGGCCAGAAGATTCTGTAATGTTTGTGTCAACAACGTTCTTCGAAAACCACGAGTGATACCGTACGTGGGATAAGAAAGTAGCATTCAACTAGCGCTTATTCTACGATGTCCCACCCGGTGCTCTTTGACACACTGCATACACACGCATCGTTTCCGCCGTACATGCTAGCAGCTTTAATGTCTCCTGAAACCATCGCACCAGGTCTTTTCACTGATTGCATCTACAGGAGTTATTGAAAGTTTGAGCACGAAAGCAAGAGGAAATAGATAGGGGCTAAAAGGATGAGGCTAGTACAGTGGTATCCACTGTGTGGCGAAGAGAGCTTGAAGAGATTTAAGTCTTTTAGAGCAAGCTAAGCCTTCATTGCCTGAATTAAGTTCACGACATTAAAGTGTTTCTACAGAGAATACCAGATTTAATCGTGAGCAGGTTCGTTAAAATGGAACAATTGCGCATTCCGTCCTATCCTTACCAAGGAATGCTTTGAACTCCCATGGAGCTTTGGAATGAGTCCTAGACTAATCGATAGTCGCGAACGCTGATTGCAAATGTGGGCACCAAAACTGCTACGCTAACTTCCTAAGAAAGTTATGAGCCTTCAATCAAAGTTGGCAAAAAAAAAAAACGTACTAGAAGCAACTTACCCTGTGGATGCAGAAAGTCGCCGCTGGCTCTGGCCAAAAAACGAGTCTATATGCGTAATCAAGGGTTCTAGTACCAACGTTTGGTACACTTGCCTTAATACGTGAATTCAAAGTTTTTTCAGGGCAAGAGGTAGAAGTGTTCTCCACATCTTTTCATTACAGCGTTCCTCTGCAACCTCAGCTCACGAAATTATTACGAGTCCCGCTTACACAGTAAGTCTAGTGTCCGTACCCCTTTTAAATCATCGCTTAGCAGCTTTGGAATTGTACTCTATTTCGGAAGACGAGAAGAAAATCGAGTGCAGACCACACATCATAAGAGACGACAACGGCAAGAGAAAAGCGTTTTTTTCCTTGGCCGTCGTCTCTTATGGTGTTTGGTCTGCACTCGATTTTCTTCTCGTCTTCCGAAATCGAGGGTGCGTAGGTATCCTTTCATGGTTCCAAGGGAGGTTCAAAACATTCCCTGGTCAGTGAAATGGCGCATCCCAAAGCAATGCGAAGGCTTACAGCATCCCTTTGAAGGCCTCAAAAGCGCTCCTGCCTTGTAAAAGTTGATATAATGAACTTCGCAGCTAAGCTGCACTTCTGTAAAGTTACCCAAGGCACTACCCAAGACAGTTACCCAAGGCATAGAGCCAGTGCAACAGTCTCGTGGAAACAACTTGAAGCTGTCCGCGACCAGTTGCTAATATGTCAGCAGAGCTAGGCATCGACTTGCTCCGGCTAAATTTCTGGAAAATGGGCATTTTGAGCATTTTTGTATCTGAAAGTCTGTTGATTAGTTCGGGATAAAGGCGCATGCTCACTAATATTCCAAAGGGCATCCTTAATTGATTGGTTATCATAATCAATATGTAGGTATAGCTTGACAGCAGCTGGTCAGACTTGGATATTTTTCAATCTAATCTCTTTCTCAGATGTATATGTGATGTACTAGTGGCTAGACCTTTACCAAACACTTGCGCTTTTTATTTCTTGCGGAAGTCATGCTAGCCACCATTGTGTTTTCCTGAATCCACTGTGAATAGTGCGTATTTTACGTTGCTTCTTTACAGTATCATTTTTCAGCTAGGACCGCCACCATCGGTTCCCGAAGACCAGTCTGCCTCGCAGTCAAACACACTGACACGCACCGCGGGCACACTAAGCACCTTGAAGCGAGAACGAGCGAGAGAACGCGAGCGGCAACAACGTGAACTGAATATTCTTGCTGACTTGGAGAAGAAGGAAGAGCAAAGCAGGAAGCAAGAGAAGGCTGACGCTGCCGATTCTGGCAAGCAACGAAAATCGCCCACACACCCTCCTTTGAAGGAGAGGACCAGTTACGTGGAGGTTAGTTGGCTAGTGATTTTGACGTTTTGGCAAGAAGCTGATCTGTTAAAAGTTGGGGTTGGGACCTACATTCTGATCTCAAGAGTTATTTGGTTCTAGAGCGCCTCTTTATCCTCTTTATCTCTCTCTTGGGATCTCTTTCGCTCTTTTTTGTCATGCAATATTTTTGTAGTAATTTTTGTGCCTCTTCTCAGATTTTGCTCAGTATCACTTTCAAAGTAGCGGTCACCTTCAGGCAGCGATTATAAGTATTAGTCAGGTTGTTTTTGGGAAACAATTGAATATTTTGAATGATGTTCAGGAACCGCACTCGAACGCGACAACGTTGGAGCGAAAAGAGCGCAAAATGGAGAAAGAGCAGGCATTGGTGCGGCGAATCACCAACGACATGCAAATCGCGCACTATGTCCGTCAAATGGAAATGGCTCGATCGCATGGGAAACGGCATCGCGGTGGTTAGTCATCTCATTTTTTCCTAGAGTGAGCTGTCGGAAGTAATTTGGAGCGCCAATTTCCATAAGAAAGGGAAAAAACGCCGACTTTCTTACTTTTCTTTTTGTCATTCTATTTCCGCCGTCCGATCAATAGAGGAATAATTGAGGTGAACGAAAACTTTTCGAACTATCAGTAGGAGATCAGCACCGATTCATCAATATTGGGGAGCACTGCGGGTCATTTGTGAAGGAAATTCGGTTATGGGGCCCCCCCCCCCCCCAATTTGGCTGCCATCCTATGCCGAAGAGGGTCTATACAACCCCTTAAACGCACAGAATGAGGCCTCCACGGCAAGTGGCGACCTGCTGTTAACGAAAGTTATACCGATTAGTGTCTAACGAAAGTTATACGCGACTTAACATCAAAGTGGTGTCATGGAAGGTTCGAAACAGGATGGAGCGGAAGGAAAGGGTGGGGAGGACGAGGGGGGCGAAGGGATATGAGCAAGGGCCATAGAGTTACAGTAAGAATATGCAAGAATGTTGTGGAAGCTGTGCAAGTTTTCAAGACCTTCATATAAATCATGTGAACGTTTTTTAATGAATGCCTCCTTAACCTCGTCATACCTTAGTAGTTTTCAACATTCCTCTTTTAGAAAACACTAACGTGTTCATCCAGTAAGGAGTCCTTCACGAAGGACTAAATGACATCATAAATAAGTACATAAATAAACGAAATAAATTAAAGGAATATGGCGGCATCTCAAGCTCAGTCTTGCCGGATGGTAGAGGCTGACGCATGGTAACCTGGAGCAAGATGCGGTTCGAATTAACTTCCCGGATGGGAGTGAGTGAGAGCAGGAACTAGAAGGTGTAGCACATAAGAATTTCTTTCTCCCACTTTTGTGGTGGTTGCCGGCTCTGCTTGCGGATAGCGTTGTGAACAGCCGACCACAGTCATTTGAGTTATGAGCAATTAGGTCAATGATGGCGCATCCCGAAAGGAGGTCTTCATTAGCGCGATCAAGTTTTTCGGCTTAACTTTTAATGATCCTCCGGGAAGTTGTATGAAATCTGTGTAGAGCTGAACTTCACCTCCTTCAGCCGTTACTTTATGCCTGTTCTTTGAGGCCATCCACTTTAATGTTTCAGCTTGTTCAACTCGGTGATCTATCGGCATCTGCATTACGTTTTGTCGAAGCGGACTCGCGTGCCCTGTGTATCTGGGCCAAAGCATGGCAAACCAACAAACGCTATCGTGTAGACCAGTCATTCTTTAAAGTATTTCAGAGAGTTTCGAGAGAGCCAGGCTGGCCGGGACCAGGCGTGATGAATAATCACTATTTCTTTCGAAACCATTCTTGAAATCATCCGTACCGCAGGCAAAATTTGGCCTCTTTCGTTACATGACACCATTTTTTATAAGAGATATTTTCAGATTCGTGTTTTTTAATACTTCCTGAACATTCAAATTCTCTCTCGACATTTTTTTTATTTTTTTCTTAGCCTAGATACACCTTTAAAACTGATACAAGGTAAATTCCAGCTGCTACCGCTGATTTTCGTATCGGCGTCTCTCTAATTGGTCCTGTTCTGCACCGCAACAAAATGACCGTAACGATGCCATTTTCTGTATTGGGTGGAAACGGTGATGACGTCATCTCTAATGGATACAGTATCCAGCGAACGCCACGAGAGTTCAACTACAGTAATCTGCTTTACGGGGCCACTGAATTTCTTGACATCCACGTATGCTGTTTTTGTTCGAGAACAAGTAGGTTTCTCTATTTTCGTCCCGGTTCGATTTTCGAGGTAAATGAAATTATAGTACTGGGATTGTTTAGAAATAAGCAGCTTATTCCTTTTCCAGGGTTGCAAGGGATACAATCCTGCGTAAGGACGCTGTACTGGCCTATTCAGCTTTGAAAAAACGACTCGATAACTTTCCTATTGGGAATCGAGAGGTGCCATCCGCCATCAGTTTCTAATGCTTCACGTTTTGGCTTGTTGGGCTTTCTTTGTAAAGTGTATTTAGTGTCTTGGTAGACTTGTCCAGCGAATGTGAATGGAAAAGAAATGGTCGACAAAATAATCAGAAAGTCTCGCTGAGTGATATTAGGATGTTGGAGTCGGATTTTATTTAGACAATGTAATTATTCGATGAAAGCTATGCTGTTTTTTCCCTTTACTACATCTCGTTATGCCTTGTGTGCAAAATATAAAAGTGACTGAGTGAGGACAAATTACCCAGCACTGACCAGTGCGCCATGTATACAACTTCCGTTCATAATATTAGTGACATCTGATGCGTGTTTAGGGTCAAAACATGAACTCAGAGGTCGGCTGTTGTGCATGCTCACAAATCTTCATGCGGATTTGATATCAATCAATTAATCACGCAAACAGAGCCTAAGAAATCTGGTTGACGTTGTATGCGCTTCAGGCAACTAGGGTCAAGCGTGGCGTCGCAAAGTTTTTTACCCCCCCAATCCTCCGCGCCTCATAAATCCTACGTCCCTTATAAATTCAACTTTAGAAAACGGTTGCCAGTATCGTTTATGAATATACTCCAATATGATCCACCTCACAAACAGAACCAGTCTTATAGCGCAGCGCGATGTTCACGAGGAAGGGAAGAGCTGTACGGCGTCTTGGACGCAGCCGGTCGCAACGCCTAGAATTGCGGGAGATGAAACTGTGGTGGGGACTGGATCTGGTGGCTTCTTCTTTGATTGCGTTTTCACCTTCGCTTTCGAGCCACTCCAAGTGCTTGAGCTTTGCAAGTTATCCACACAAGGTGAATTACTCTGCCGAAAACATTAGAAATGATAGTATATACGTTGGATTTTTCACTTCAAAGAATTTTCTAACCGTGACGTTTAACGAGCTCATTTAGTAGTTGATGGTGAAATTTAGGTTGCACTAACATTTCCGGAAACCTTTGTTAGCATGAGCAAGGACTCTACGAACCTCAGTCGAGTCTATCTTGGATCAGCTATTGGAGGTTAGTCTAGCTCGCTTAATTCCGAGAATTTTCTTTTCCAGCCGGGAACCTCTTTAGGCATTTTTTTGCAGTTTCCATGTCAGTATATACTTGGCCTCGCCAACTTGATTTCTTGGAATCCTTAACGACTAGGCTGTCAGTTATTTTTTTATCTGGATAGAGATCGTACTGTAGTTTTCGTTGGTCGAGGTAACCGGCCAAAGCTCTACCCCTGCAGGTGATGGTGTATGGGAGGTAACGTAATGAGGGAAGGGTGGAGGGGTGAGAAAGGAGATTAGAGACGTTCGAAGGGAGTCAGGAAATTTTCGAAAATTCAACGTGTCGGTTGACCGCGTTACGGGTTCTTAAGCATTGGGGTACAGTATTGTAACGACAGGTGCACTAACCTTTCATGGTAACACAAGAAGCTGATGAATGGTAGAAAATGATCATTGAAGTGTCGAGACTTGACTCGGACGGGCGCAAATCTCGCGAGCCTCAAAATCTGAGGTTAACGTTTGGCCTTAAGTTGAAGGAAAGTAGTGACGGCTGAACAAAATGTGCGCTGGGCAGGAATTTTGCAGAGCGCAGTAGGAATTCGTTTTTGACTGATCCGACGTTCCACGAGAGTATGGTTACCGACCATGCATTCCTTGGCAGGTACACAGCACACGCTCCGAACGTCTCACTCTCATACTGGTCACCGTCATCGTTCTCGTCGTGGGTGATTCGTTCGTTGTCAAAAGGCTACAGATGGTTGTTCGTCTCCGTCGGCATACTTTCGCTGTTCTGCTTTTTGGCCACTTTTGGCGCCAACGCCTACCAGGTATTAGAAAACAGCTTGAGAGTTATAACGTGCATCAGCTTCTATAACACTTTCGGAGCCTGAGAATGAGCTTATGACTGATGAAATTCCAGACAGTGCAATGATTAGTAGTGAAAAATATCCTGAAGAGGAATGCGCAGATACATTCAGTACTGCTGTATATATAATGTGAAGCTATTTGGATCAAATTCTATTTCTTAATACCGCTTACAAGTGGAAAAATATGGTGGAGATCGCCGTCATTGAAAGATTCCTTGTATGATTCTGGGATTCAAACGAATACTGAATGAACACGATGAAACTGGGTGGTCTCGGCTGTTAACGGCAATGGAATTGGGTGCTTTCGGCTGGGAAATAGCCCATAGGAAACCCCTTTAAGGCCATTTATCTTTCCTTTGTTGCAGTCTCGTGCCTTACCCTAACACGAATTGAACCATTATCTGCTGCAAGTTGTTCAGGTACTCCTACTTTTCCCGGTGTAAGTGACAGAATTATGCAAAGGACTTAGTGGGTGCTTAATGTTGCATTCTTGTGGTAGATGGAGTGCCCCAGCCTGTTCAGTGATATCATCTCGCAGGCACGCGTTCATTTTTAATTTTGGCTTTGAGCGTGCAACGGAATAGAAGTACTTTTCTATAATGCTCTGACGATTCGACCACGCTGAAGGCACTTCGTGGTTGACCAACTTATTATTCGAGTGTTTTGGGACCCTTTCTCTTTTTCGATCGTATTTTGGGTCGTGGAAATACTTGAAATCCTCTAGAAAGCAGGGTCAAGACCCTATCGGTGTTATTTTCAAAATGCTTTTCCTACGACTCCCCTCCCCCAGGTGGGGGTGTAGTGGATTTGGTACGACCCCTTTTGGCGACACATCATCGCTATAGTACTTGATTCTGCACACGTCAACTCACCAAACTCCGCCCACTTTTTCCTCCCAAAAATGCCGTCGAAGCGGGGGGGGGGGGGGTATATACGCCGGCTGAAACGGCAAATTTTTATCTTGCGCGCCCTCTACTCGCACAACCTACTACCCACGAAATCTTAGTTTCTCCTCAATCCCACACGTGATTTCGAGCGACTAAAGTGGGTACGACCCCCCCTCCTACAAACTCAACCAGGTACGACCCCCCCCGTTGTTACTCGTAACAACGTAGGGTTGATAAATCGTGGTCTCTGTTAGAGCCGGCCTTGCTTTCGAAGCGGTTATGAAAATTGTAACTTGCTGTCAAAATGACTGGCGAGGTTGTAGATTCGCCCAATGATTTGAGTGCGCGCGCACCAGCGTTTTCTTAACATTTCTTGGAGTAACGGCATAGTTTCCTGTGATAACGTCCTAATATTTTGTTCCCATAGCTTCTTTTGGCTCCCTACTCCAATTATGTCAGGAGGGTGCTAGCCATAGGAGAAAACACCACGAAAAAATTTAGGGATTTTGGTTATGGTGGTCCCCACATGCATTGGTTTTACCCTTGACCCGTCTTCCTCTTATGTATGCGACGAAGTGTTGCTTGCCTTTTCTAACTATTTTTTGATACTCCCAACACTGCGTACGAGTAATAAGCCACAGCCAAGGCAGACAAACTCCCAAAGTTTTACAAACTTTCCTACAGTTCCACGAAGACTATGTGAATGTTTTGAATCACTCTCTTGGAGTTGCAGTTCTTGAAGGAATCTTCCACGGAAAAAGCTCCGCCTTCATTACCACAAAAACGATACCTTAAAGGAATCTTCCACGGAAAGAGTGATCATTTTGTCTTGTGTGTAGGATTAGTATTATCGAAACTAACGCTTATGTTCCGTTCTTTTTGCTATGCTCATGAGGGGCGTGGGGCCTAAGGAATCGGTTTTTTGTGGTAATGAAGGCGGAGCTTTTTCCGTGGAAGATTCCTTTAAGCCTTTTACGGAGTCTTTTTCATGCCACAGACTGAAATGCGCTACCGGTCGTATCCGTTGTGACTGTCTTTCTACTAAAGCGAGACACAACACCAACACCCCACGCCCCTCGCATTTGCTAAAATTTTTGGGATATTATTCAGATCTTTTGACCTTTATGGCCTTTATGGACCATTCGATGTCGTTGAATTTCCGCGAAGCGATATTGTTCGAAAAGATTTCAATAAGCGCCCGATTCATGACAATGCGGAATTGGAATATAATGGATTTTGATCCCTTTGAGAGCTTATATAAGCTGCCGAGTCCGAAAATCATTACTTTCGGTTCCGTCATCGGATTCTGTCCTTTCCTTGACCTTGTAGGTCTTATTCTGGTTAATTCATCAAATCTTTCTTTTGTTTGTTCGACCTTAGTAAGGGTCTGCATGCATTCTTCACCTGAATCAAGCTTGGCGTGAAGAAAATCAGGCGCTATTCCAAGATACGGGGGCGTTGTGGTGGCGATGCAAAACAGCGTTGAACATGCCCTTTTTGTAAGTACGGTGCTAACCAGGGAAGGTCTTCACGGCGTGAACGGCCCTCTGAATACCAGAAAAGGGGGTCCCTAGTTCGATTCCTCTTGGTGACAAATTTTTGCATTTCGAGTTGACGTTCCAAAATTCGCGCAAAATGGAGTTCTGATTGTTCTGGTTGGTTCTAACTCCATTTTGCGCGAATTTTGGCACGTCAACTCGAAATGCAAAAATTTGTTACCACGAGGAATCGAACTAGGGACCTCCTTTCTGGTATTCAGAGGGCCGTTCAGGAAAAATTGAACATGGTTCTGTGGTTCCCGCATCTGCCCCTATATCATGCAAAAGACCGTTTTCAAAAAGCTTGTCACGCCCTGAAAGACCTTCCTGGTAAGCATCATCCGGGGGAGAGAGACTCCAGCGTGCGTGAGCCATTTTCACTCTCCTCGAAGTTGCTGACACCTCCAAGACTTAGCTCTAGAATGCCCCGTATATTGCTATAGCGCCTAAAATCAGATAATAGCGAAGGGTTGGAAAAAATTGTTTGCTACTTTAAACACCTTCCTGACCTACTTCAAAGAAGGGAATGAAAAAGAGTTTTCAGTGTTACTTCTAGATGATTTTCAAAATATGGCACGTTCTAAATGATTTCTCTTCTATCGTCTTTTTTGTGCTGATGTTTGTGGATTGTTTATTTCAGTCAAAACCACTGGTTGGTGTGCAAATCGCGTTCACGTTGGTGGTATCGTGTGTTGGTGGCCTGTTTGTTCAAGTGGCTGGTTCGGCCCATTTCGATCCTCTAATCTGGCCGGTATTCTTCAATATCGTAGGTAAGTCTGAGTAGCATTGTTCCGTTGTTCCTTTTCAAATGTTTCAGTAGTGAGACGCTATTTCGTGATGACCATGCTAGTAATGCTCCCAGTGGTGCTTGATTTATGGGATAGTAGCAGAAGCTGCAGCAACAGTATTAATCACCTCACAAATTGACTATGTATAGCATTGCCTGGCTGGCTTGGGCGTCCTTTACATGGCTATACATTGCGATTGAACGAAGAAGCACCCCTCGTGGCTTGTGGCGGCACTCCGTTGACTTTTTGAAAAGTAGCAATAAGAAGTTGCTGTGAATCAGCGTCGGCAACCTTTCTTTATTTCCAAGGTAAGTTATTGAACCAGGCCAGCTAGACCTAACAGGGCTGCTAGACCAAGAATTTACTCGAGCAAATGTTCCCAATGGGGTTGGACGGTCAAGAATGACGAGTTTTCTTCAAAATTGGTTTTCTTGAAAGAAGGGGTGAACCTTGAATTCGGAAGAACCCTTGCATGCGGCTTGCTTCCCCTGTCTGCTCGAAAAGCGGCTTATTCTACCATTTCTTGCGAAATTTTCGGGGCTCGGGTATGTAAACGTTTTGGGAATCATGAGGCTTTGTCAATATGACGACTACATAATTTGTTTTCGTGAGAATACTAACAGGTAGTCCCTTTCACAATGGCGTTTCTCTGGGCGTTCTTGAATGCTCGCAGAATTTTTTATGAGCGCCCATGGAATAAGCCAGCTATTTTTGGGCCATAGTGGTTGATTCATTGATCTTTCCTCGAACAAAAGTCTATAACTTTCTCTCAGTTTCCCATGTGCCTTCGAGGCTAAAATTGAAAGATGCTATCCCTGTGATTTATTTTTAATTGTACAGTTCCTTCATGA